CAGAGAAAATTGAGAAGACTTGTGCGGACTGATGCTGAGGGAAGTGAGCAGGGCCAGGAAGATGTAACAACTCTGATCCATCCGATGACCAACTGCTACTCTGGAAAACCAATGCAGCGTGCTTTCCACCACTGGGCAGAAGCTTTAGGTACAGAATGAGACAAACACTTTCAGATACAACCAATATGTAAAGACATTTGCTTGATTACTCTTATTTATTGGGGGGGGAAGGTGCTTTTATGGGTTGCTCCAAATGGCTTTAATAGCTTAAAACTGCACTAAGGTTTTTGGAACGAACTATATTTTAGGAAGACTTGGAGATGTTGATTGACAGTATTCATGACACAAAAAAGGAGAAAAGAAAGAAAAGATGTTCAATTAAACATTTAAAAACACACAGAGGAAAACAGAAGGAAGTTCAGAAGGAGACATTAGATAAGCAGGGTAATGTTGATACTATTTTGTTAAATTTACTACCTGTGGTAGTTTTTTTTAAGCTGTAAATAATAGAAATTCACTATTTCACATACAAATCTTTTTTCTGTTCTGTGTCTGTGGAAATGTTCACATTTGGGGTTATTTCTCAAGTTTGTCATTTAGAAAGCGGAAAAGACTTAATAAACCAATTTTTTATTTCTATAAGATTATAGGTTCCTAACACATACTTTTTTATTCAGCATCATAAATCCTCAAAACGTTGTTAAATTGAACTGAAAAAGGCCCCAAAACATTAACATTACACATGAGATTGGTCATTATAACCTGCAAACGATGTGTTCAATACCAAAATGTAAAGCCTGTTATAAACTGAGACTATACTGCATTCTTTTTTTTAAATAACCATACGAGAACAGATACATATAAATGATTGTAGCCGCTAGTGCTAAAAAGCCATTTTCTTTTTTCGGAATTTTGCCTTTAGGTGTCAGCTAACAAACGCCAAAATTTAGTCTTATTGCTCCCTGGTCTGGACTGCCTTCAAAGGGTTGGTTGTGGCTGTTGGGAAAACTCAACCCCACCCACTAAGTCTAATGGTTTATATGCCCTTGTTGAGGATGCTCAAAGGACTGTACCATCAATTTTCAAGGCAATTTCAAATACGACTGGAGCCACTTATCAGCTCCTGGTATTAAGTTCCTCCCAAGGTGCTTACTTTGAAAGGGAGAGCACCTAGATAGTAGGTAAGTACTGGCTCACATGGCTGGTTGCTAAGAAATCAGGCACCCTACTTTACAGTCACACCTTCTAGATAAGCAGGGATGACAAACCAATGTTATTATGAAACCTTAACATCCATGTCACACACAAAAGCAGAACAAATGCTGATACTACTTTCCAAGAATGTTTCTATTCCCTAGCTTTTAAGTCTTAGAGTAAACACACACTTCAAACCCAGAAAAGATAAGGAAGGGAAAAAGCCAGCTATTTGTCCTCTTTAAAATATAACTAACATCTACAAACTACAGGAGACTCCCTATGATGATCCTGGCGTTCCTGGAGGCCTGGCTTGTACTAGGCCCTGGCTCTCATCATGCTGAGACAGAACAGTACTAGACAGGATGCTCCACAGATTTTGCAGGGCAGAGTTCTCTTTTTCAAGATATTGGAAGAAATGGCCACATTCTAAAGCCAGCTATGAAACCAGTCATCTCAATAAATGGGAGGAATTGAGGTTCGTGTTTATCATGACACAAACAAGGCTACACACCAATTATTAGTTTGTGAGTCTGTTACCTATCATGAAGGGCCCAAAGTGTGGAAATAAGTTTCATCTGTGGACGCAATCCGACTTAGGACTATATCTGAGTAGGGTTGTGACTAGAAGTACTCTGGTCTTAGGGCCAAATGTTCTCCAAGTTTCCAGGAGACAACCAGTCAACAAGCATTTTATCAAGTTCCTACTATGTGCCAGGCACGGGGCTGAGCACTGGTTTCATATCCTCCTCAGAGGCAGTAGGAAGGGGCAAAAAGTTCCCTGAAATGGGAGCAAGGGGTAGGGAGAGCTCTAAAGGCAGGCAGAGTTCACAGCATTTTGATGCCCCCCAAACGGTACAGCGAGTCACTTCCTTCTCTGGATTGAAGGTCACACGCTTTTAAGGGACAAGGAGTTCAGTGTGGGCAGAAAGATGAGGACAGTAAGATGAGAATGGGAGGGGCAGTAAGAGAGGGAGAGCCTGGTGGGGGGTTGGGAGGAAACATCAGTGGGGCAGATGAATAGGGCATAAGGGAGGACATGTCCTAGGACAGGATAATGGGAGGGCCTAGCTTTGAGAACACAGGTCTAATCTCTCTTCCTAAAGTCATTAGCTAGTTAGTGAAATCATGACGTCCAGTGAAGGGCGCAATATTATAGACTTTCCATAAAGGATGATGGGTTTGCCTGCTGATGGTGAGATCTGGCTGTAATGCATGCATTCATGATGCTATTCAAACCAAGTTAGTAGCCTTAGCAGGGCAGGCCTGTCCCTGGCTCTTCCAGGCTCTCCTTTCAGGTCAGGGCTGCTAAATAACTTCAGTAGCTAGTCTGAATCAGATAGAGAACTGAGGGCTAGAGATGGAGGTGTAAGGAAGAGGTTAATAACCTGGTGAGTAGCACTCTAATCAAGAAAGGTAAGCCAGGTATCCTTGAATGAAGGTCTTAGGGAGGGGGATCCATTTATCATTCTGGAATCCGATCCTGTCCCACCCTTAGAAAACAAAAATTTTCAGTAAAAGAATAAAAGTATAAACAAGAGGATTTTTTAGCAGGGGCAGGGAAGATCCTGGGGGACATGACATGAGAGGACAAGAGATACTGAGGGACCAACCAATAGGTCTTTCTCCCCACAGCAAAAAAAGAAACCCTCTCCTGGGGTAAGGAACTTGGGGTGGTTGATGGTACCTTAAGGAGGAAGAAGAGAGGGAGCTGAGCCAATGGCAGGTGAGTTAGGGGAACTAAAATGGAGGTGGGTGATTAGAGATGGGTGGAGGTGCTGTGAGTAAAAGAGGGTAAAGGATGGGAGAAAGCGGATGAGGGACGAGTGGGAGAGCAGAGAGCAACCCATTTCTCTGGATGAGGGAGTAAGAGAAGCTGATGTTCTGTAAACTGAGGGAAAGAGTGTGGGACCCAGGGCCTAAAGCGTAGGGATAAGGGACCTAGATGGAGGACCACTGTCAGTTGGGTGGACTCAGCAATAAGGGAGGCACAAAGGGGCTAGGGTATGTCAATAAGGTATGTGAGGGGAGGGGACACAGAGAGTGTGAAGGGCTGGGGCATTATAATCAGAGGAGTAAGGGACCATGAGGTATGATAAAGGGTGTGTGTGTGTGTGTGTGTGGTGTGTGTGTGTGTGTGTGTGTGTGTGTGTGTGTGTGAAGGGGGGATGCTCGCTGTATCTAAGGAGTGTGAGGGGCTGGGGTCACTGTAAATAGAAGGGTTACTCTGAAAACAACAGGTGTGAGATGGCAGGGTTGTTCAGGCACTGAGACCCTGTGGGGAACAGGTAGGGGATGAAAGGCCGAGCTGCAGTAAATGGAAATGGGTCAGAGGCTGGGAGAATGGCAACAGGAGCTGTAGAGAGATTGAGGGGGCAGGGGAATGGGGGGGGCGCTGAGGGGAAAAGGGGCAGTTCAGCGACATGGGAGCTGTGAATGGGGAAGGAGGGAGGGAAGGGCAGGTGTCACTGGGATAGGGGAGCAGGGACCATTTGACACAGGAGGAGTGCAGGAGCAGGGGAGCTGTGATGGGGAGGGCTCCAGGGGCAGGGGAGCATTGTGCTGGAAGGGAAGGGTTTTTTGATGGGGGTGGGTCCTGGAACAGGGACAATGTAATGGGGGAGGAGATAAGGCCCAAAGGCAGGGTCACTGTGATAGCAGAGGGTTCTAGATACAGGGTCTTTTGTGATGAGGGAGGGGTCCAGGGGTGCTGTGATGCTCCAGGGGTAGGGTCTCTGTGATGTTGTGAGGGAAGCACAGAGGATGCTCTGAGGAAGGAGGGATTTAAGGGCAGGAGCTCTGTAATGGGGGGGGGAAGGGGTTCCGTGGGGGTAGGGGAGACAGGGACTGCTGTGAGAAGGGAGGAGTCCAGAAGCAGGAGCTTCTGAAGTGGGGGGGGGGCGCTCAGGGGTGCTGCGATGGTCCAGGGCCAAAGGCTCCTCATGGGGGCTGGTCAGGGATACTGACGATCCAAGGGCAGGGGTTCCTGATACGGGGGCCAGGAGGGGTACTGTGACGGTCCAGGCGCAGGGGCTCCAAATGGGGGGGGTGTAGGGACGCTGTGACGTCCAGGAGCATGGATTCCAGATAGGGGGTGGGAGGGCGCAGGGGCACTGTGATGTTGGGGGGGGCGCAGGGGCCGGGGTTCTTTTGGGGGGGTACGCAGGGGCGCTGTGACGGTCCAGGGGCATAGATTCTTTTAGGGGGGGTGCGCAGGGGGGCTGTGATGTTGGGGGGGTGCTCAGGAGCACTGTGACGGTCCTGGGGCAGGGATTCCCGGAGGGGGTCCGCACGGGCGCTGTGACGGTCCAGGGGCAGAGATTCTTTCGGGGGGTCCGCAGGGGCGCTGTGATGTTGGGGGGTGCGCAGGGGCGCTATGACGGCCCAGGGGCAGAGATTATTTTGGGGGAGTGCTCAGGCTCCCTGTGATGTTGGGGACCCGGGGCCAGCCCCGGCTGGGCGCGGTCCCCGCTCTCGCGCCACTCGGCGCTGCGGGCCTAGGCCTCGGATGGAGGCCGGCCCCGCTCCCCCCCTTCCCCACCCCCCACCCCCCGCGCCCGTCGGGGCGGACACACCCACCTCCCCGCAGGCCCGGCCTCTTACCAGCTCCTCGTCGTGGGTCAGCTCCGGCGCCATGTCGAGCCAGGGCCCCGGCCCCGGCTCCGGCCCCGCCTCGGGCCCCGGCTCCATCGCGGAAAGTGGCGGCGGCGGCGGCGGCGGCTCAGGCCGCCAGCCCAACCCCCGCCCGGCCTGGCCTGGCCCGGCCCGGCCCGGCGCTGCCCGGCCCTAGTCGGCCTCCGCCTCCTGCGCCCTCCCCGCCCCCGCCCCCCGCAGCGGCCAGATGTGGCCCCACGCCCCCGGCCCCAGGTGTGCCCGGGCCGGCGCCCCCAAGGGAACTGCGGGCTGGCCGGTTAAAAGCAAAACAAAACAAAAATCAGAGCCCAGGGGAAAACAATCGGATTGGAAAAGGTAAAGGGGGGCGGGGGAGACCTCCCTCTTTCCCCCAGCCTTTTCCTAAGTCTCGAACCCCCTCTCCCTTTCCCCCCTTCCTCGCTATTTACTCTTGCTTCTCGGCCCCTCGACTCCCCCCACGTCCCCAGCCAGAGGCAGGCAGCCACGCATGGTCCTGCCTTTCTCCCGGGCTCACTAGAGGGGGTGATGAGGAATCTTCTAACTCTCCTCTTGCCTCATCTCTCTGCACTCCCCCCCAAAAAAACCCAGAGGAAGCAAGTATTCTATGAGAAAAAAAGAAAACGTTCAATGAAAAAAAAAATAAAGTTTTTCAAGCCGTGACCTAGAGGTTAGCCCTTGAAATCCCCCTTAAACAGACGAAAATACCCTGTGCTTGCCACCCCCCCCCGCTCCCCTAGTCCGACCTTCCAGAATACTCCTCCTCTAAGCCCGTAAATCCCTTCAGCGTTTGACCTGCCCGGAGAAAATCCAGACCCTAGCCCGCCACCTCCGTCTGTCTCTGCCTCCCCAAGTCCTTATTCCTCAAAAGCAGCCACGGAGAAAGAGAGAAAAGAGGAAGGAAGGCGAAGACATCCCCCTCCCCTTCTCACTGCCAACGCCGCTGCCCTTGATCGTCAGCCCGAACCCCCAGCAGCTCCATTCAGAAACTGCCTCATTCACAAACAGCGGGAGAGGAGGAAGCAGGCAGAGAAGAGGGTCTCTCCAAGAGAGGGAGACAGAGAGGAATCCGGGAAGGGAGGGAGAGAGGAAGAGAGGAACTGGGTGGGGGAGGGGGATGGCAGAAAAGGGCTTTGTGGGGAGGGAGAGATCTCCCCGGGGGTTGAAGGAGCAAAGCGGAAAAAGATACTGTCTGTGGGAGGAAGATAAAGGGAGAAAGGAGTATGTGTTTTCAAAAGAGACTTGATGCTCCATAGTGGAGGAAGGGAATATATTGCAAGTCTGAGAAGTCTCCACTGAGGTGAATTTTAACTTGGATTAACTTTCAGCTACCACCCAAATGTTTGAAACCCACAAGCCTCTTTCACTGCCGACGCCAGTTCCAGGCTGAATGAGACCCTTAAAAAGGTTGCCAAACAGGGCAAGCACTTTTGGGTCCAAGCAACCAGCCTGTTTGATCACTGTACCATCTCTCTATTTTGTTGCTGGCTGTATCCTGTAATCCATCATCGGGTTGACTATTTTTAGTTCTCCCAAAAGAAAACATCCTTCTCCAAACCTTTGCCTCATTCAGGAATTCTTTGCTTTCGAAAGTCTTTGAGTGTCATTCAGATTTTACATAGCCGAAAGAGCTATGTTACTGGGTAACAGAGGAGGTTAATGCTATGCTCACCCACCCCCATGGTTGTGGATCATGGCCACCCCTGAGGATTAGAGAATTGTCACCTCTGCAATCAAACATTAAAAAAAAAAAACCTACTATGTGCCAGGCATACAAAGACAGAAATGAAAAGTCTCAGCCCTTTAAGTAGGAAGTTGGGAAGGGAGAGGACAAGGCACAGGTATAAGTATATGCAAAATAAATACAAGGTCATTTTTTCAAGCAAAGGCACTGGTATTTGGAAGTCTTTGGGAGGAAGGTGATGCTTGAGCTGGGTCTTGGAGGATCTAGAGGATTCTGAGAGATGGAGGTAAGGAGGGAGTCCATCACAGGCAAAGGGGACAGTGAACAAAGGCACTCAGGAGGAATGTGGAGCCTCATGTCTGAGGAAGAACAGTAAGAAAGCCAGTTTGGCTGGCCTCTAGAGTTCAGGGAAAGAACTAGAGCTAGCTAGGATTTTGATTACATCTTTTAACACAAGATTTCAGAGATCTTGCATGAGAGATCCATGATTAAGCCAGTGCTTAAGCAGCTAAGCTGGTAACCCAGACCATTGGCAACTCAGACCTCGGTCCAGACACCTTGTAGTTTTCAGATCCTAGAAACCCTCTGGGTCACAGAGCAGGAAGACTTTTGACTGAAAGACAAAGACAGGGTTAAGAACTAAGGAAAAACTCAGTCTTTGTTCTAATCCCATTTAATCTGTTTTGAGAAAGTTACCTAGCCTTGCCTGAGTTTCCTCATCTGGATTTTGGGTATACTATCTAACCTCCATGCTGGCAACTTCAATATTTTATTTGACTCTATCCCTCTTCCCCATCTCGAATTTCCATTTAATCAGTTACCAAGTTCTGGCAATTCTCCCCCTCCAATATCTTCTTGAATTCATCACCACCTTTCTACTGCCGCTGCTATAACCCTGCTGCAAGGTCTTATTACACCAGCCTGCACTGCTGCCACACCTCCTAATTTGTCTTCCTACCTCCATTCTCTTCCTAGTCAAATCCCATTATGCGGCTGACAATTATGCTTATACAGATCTGACAAATGTCACTCCTCTGTTGAGCACACTCCCATAGCCTGTTGAATAATCTGGGTTTCAAGGCCCTTTACAATGACACTGTTCCTCCTTCTTCACTGAGGCAGCCAAACATTTGCTATGGTCAAGCATTTTCCGTTTTGCACCATTGCTGATGCTCCCTGTGGTTCTCCAGCTGTCCCAGACTTTCTTCATTTCAACCCAGATTTCAAGGCTCAGCTCAAATGCCTCCTCTTCCAGGATAGCATTTTGCCTCTTCTTTGTAGAACCCTAGTTATTATAGAGCATTGCAGATTTGTACGTTTCCTAGTGCCTAGAACAATGCATTGCACATCGTAAGCATTTAATGAATGGTTGCTGAATGAATGAATGGACGAAAGAAGCAATTTGAGGACATTTGGTGCTTGGTAATGAAAGATCAGGCCCATTGCCATTTTGTGGGATATGTATTTTGTTGTCTTTAAGCATTACAAAACTAAGACAGTTACAAAATTGGTATAAGATTGACTCTTCCTGAGGGCAGGCTGTGTTATTTGTTTGTGGGCTCTTGGAGCAATCAGACACAGTCCATGGCATCAAGGCTCACAAATCCAAACAACACAATTCACACCAAGCCTGAAGTAGGGTAGGTAGTTAAATCTCTTGGTGGGACTTTCTTGTCTGAAGCACTGGGAACTCGGGCTTCACAGAAGCAGCCAATGTTCTAGAGGGATTTGGAGGAGGCTGGGGACACACTGGAAGCTGTCTAGGAAGACAAGAGGGAGGCTGTTTGGGGGATGGGGGCAGGGTGAGCCCCAGGCACAGAGCCAAGTGGGAAAAGGTGATAAAAGGGCACAGCAAGTCTCAGGAAGAGCACAGAAATAATTAATAATAACTTGGATACTCTCTTTCAAAGAACTCAGAGGATCAGGTGGGACCCAGAGAGGTAGTATGACAAAGCACTGAATGTGATGATAAACTGGACTGGTTTTAGAGAATGAAAAGGCAACTTGATGAAGGAAGGGAAAAAATCCTAACCAGTAGAGAGATGAATTTGAGAGAGGATATGAGAGAAGGAGACAGCTCAGCCTGGTCGTAGGACCCTGGAGCGGCAGCTTCATCTAGTCCCACCCCTTCATTTCAAAAACATATATCGTTTAATATGATTGTACATGTATAACCTACTCTAGATTGGAGAGGGAGGGAGAAAAAATTTAAAACTCAAAATCTTGTAAAAGGGAATGTTGAAAACTATCTTTACATGTAGTTGGGAAAAATAAAATGCTGTTGGGGGTGGGGGGAAGCCATATATACAGAACTGATTAAACACGACCAGATTAACACCACGTAGTAAGCAGAACACACAGTTAGACAGGCCCTGGGGAGTTAACAAGAGTCAGCAGTCCCAACAGCTTCCTGAAACAACCAGAACTGGAGCCAGTCTGTGAGATCTGGTCTGAGAGCATACTCTGTCCTGACATCATCACAACAATGGGAACTATCTACAGACTTCCGTCTGGAAGCATCATAGACTCTGAGTTGAAAGGGACGTTAAAGGTTGCCTAGTCTCACCCTGTCTTTTTAGAAGTAAGCATTTCTAAATCGGGGGCTATCTGTATTTCAAGCCAAGCACTTACTAAGCACCTACTGTGTGTACTAGGTGCAGGGGACATGAGAACAAAATGAACAAGGCCCTGCCAGCCCTGTTTTACAGATGAATGAGCAGAAACCCTGAAAGGTGAGTGGATCTGCCTATGGTGGCAGGCGTTGGGAGCTGATGACCTTTGGGTGTTTGGGAAAATGGGGTAAGCAACAGGCAAGAAGGAATGAGGAGGATGGATTGGAAAGGGGATGGAAGGAAGACCCTGCTTCCTGCTTCTGATGACAGAAATATTACCTGCTGCCATCTTTGGAGTTGGAGTGTAGGCCCCTGATGGAGGCACCTAGTGAGGATGGGTTGTATTTAATTAAGTCATAATCACCAAACCAGCTCAATGGGAAAGGCTATCTGGAGTGGAAGGTCAAAAGCCACAGCAAACCTCAGCCACTGACGCTCCAGGGCTTAACCCAGAATGCTCTTTTGTCATTGTTTACTCTCCATTTGGGGTTTTCTAGGCAGAGGTATTGGAGTGGCTTACCATGTCCTTCTCCAGCTCATTTTGCAGATGAGGAACTGAAGCAAACAGGGTTAAGTGCCTTGCCCAGGGTCTTCCTGACTTCAGGCCTGCACTCTGTGCACTATGGCGCCACCTAGCTGCCCCCAGAATGCTCTATTTTTCCTTAAATAGTGTAGCTACATGTAGTCCTGGAAGTGAAATCTTTGAGAATCAATGGCTTGATTTAAGATTAAAGGTGGATGGTGGCCAAGCCACTATGGCAAATATTTAGACCCATGATGGGCTCTAGTTGGAACATGTTGGTCAACATGTAGGTCATGTTGGAAACCTGGTGAGTTTCTGGGCGTGCTTAGTGGAACCGAGCTGGGTTGTCCCTTCTTTCCACTGGGCACCTCCATACTTACCTGCTTCTTCCTAGCCATTGGCTCTCAGGGCTCCTAAGTGGAAAATGACTGAAGATTGTCCTTTCTTGGGAGCTGCCATTTCTGACTTTGCTAAGTCAATGCATGCACACTTTTGAGCCCTTTCTAAAAGCTTTTCTGTAGAAATTCAGTCCTGCATACTCATTTTTGAAGACAGTCTACTGGACTTGAGACTTGTATCTCATATTATCTTTTTTTTTTATTAATCTACATAAACCAAGGTTATAAAAAAATGACATTTTCAGTGCCGTTATTTTGGCTTAGTGCCTTCTCCTCAAACATACCTTCATTCCTGAAATCCAGAACCCCTTTTAAGCAACTAAGCTGACACTGAGCTGTTTGTATGATCAGATAATTAGTCATCGAACTGCAAAGTACTCTTTCTATGCCCTCGATTTTAAATCTATTTTTGTTACATATTGGACCTACTTCTACCAACAGCTGTTTTTATTCAGTTTTACATACAGCGTAATAAATCTCTGCTCCAAATAAAGAGTCCTTCTGACTTTCACAGTCAGTGGAGCTTCATTGTTGGGGATGTGCTTGGATTGATGTAGCTCATTCACTTCCACACCTTGGTGATACTCTCTGAGAACTGCATCCATGAACTGATCTTGGCTGATCCCCGAAAGAAAGGCCAAAGTTGGGGTCTTTCAAGCGTAATCAGGTCCATCAGAGCTCGCAAAGCCTTTGAGAACTCAAGGTCATTCCCATATTTATTAGAGGACATCAGTAGAGAAAGGTACCCATTGACTTTATATATACTACAATACAAAATATATGTGCATATGTGTATGCATGTATGTATGTAGGTGTGCGTGTATGTATATGTGTGTGGATGTATATACATACATATACATATGTATATAAAATACTGTGTGGCTATAAATATTTTAGAATAAAAATATATTTGACCCCAGAATTCTTAACCAAACAAGACATAGAGGCAATAACAAATGAAATAATGGAAAACCTTGATTATGTGAAATTGAAAAGTTTTTGCATGAATAAAATCAATGCAAGGGAAGCTATAAATTTTTTTTTGGGGGGGACAATGCATTAAGAATCTGAGAAGGAGCTGATATCAGGAACTAATATGAATATATGAATGAGCCGTTAAGTGGTCAAAAGAGGTTTTCAAGAGAATTACAAACTATTTTCATAAGATTATCCCAATCATCAGTAATAACATTAATAACAGAAACAACTCTTAGACTTTACCTTACAGCAAACAAATTGACAAAGTTTTTTTAAAAGATGGAAACAAGGGCAGCTAGGAGGTGCAGTGGATAGAGCACAGGGCCTGCAATCAGGAGGCCCTGAGTTCAAATCCAGCCTCAGACCAAACACTTGACACTCACTAGCTGTGTGACCCTGGGCAAGTCACTTAACCCCAATTGCCTTAAAAAAAAAAAAGATGAAAACAGCCAATGTTGGAGGGGCTGTGGGGAAACAGGCCCTAAATGTACTGTTGTAAATTGGTCTAACCATTCCAAAAAGCAATTTGAAATTATGCTTAAAAAAAGGTGGGGCAGGGAGAGGGATAAGGGTAGAAATGGATGACCCAGAGATCCCAATGCTAGGTCTTGACCATCCCCACCCCCAAAAGGAGGCTAAAGATGGAAACACCCTATCCTCTATAGCAAAATATTCATAGCAACCCTTTTTATGGGAGGAAAAGACTAAAAAAACAAAGTAGATGTTCACTGATTTAGGGAACAGGTGAACAAATTGTAGTACATAAATGGTATAGGATATTAATATGCCATAAGAAATGGTGAGTATGAAGAGTTCAGGGAGGTATTGAGGGGCAAAGGGGAGGACATATGAACACTAAAATAATGTCAAGAACCAAAACTGACTGACAAGCTGAACAAAATGCATCTCTCCCCCTCCTTTGCAGCGGTGGGAATCTGGGGCTGGGGGTGGGGGCCTGGAATATGGTGGGCACTGTCAGGCTTGGCTGACATGTTATCAGTTTTGCAGAACTGCTTCCCCCGCCCCCCCCTTGTTCTTTGTTACAAAGGAGGGTTTATTAGATAGGGGATGGGAAAGGATTCTTCAGAAGTGAAGGTGATGTAAAAACCAGCAAGATCAACAAGGCAATTCTAACCATACTTTTTCTCATGTCACAGAAGCACTAAGGCTCTGCCCCATGTCACCTATTAGATTGCTGACAGATAAAGCCAGGGAAAGAATGCTGACTTTTCTTTCTTGTTGCCAAATCTATATGAAGTCAAGAGTAGAGGATGTGATTCCAGAGATAAAATTTCATTCTAGATCTGCGCTCCTTCCTGTCTAGTGGAAACAGCAACTGTAGCCAAGCTGTCCCATTTCGTGGGACTCGCCACAGCATTTATGGGATTGGAGATTTGGGATTATTCTTGAATCATACTGTTCTCAGGCACTCACCATCATCTTTAAACAGGTGAAAACAAGTTAAAAATGAAACCAAGGCACAGGTGAGGGATATTGCATTTGTCAGATTTACGCACGCGCACACACACACACACACACACATTCATTGGTTTTGAGTTTTTTTTTTTTAAAAAAGATTCTGTTATAAGGAATGGCCCTCTGGGAGGGTGAGTTTTGTAGGGACAGCAATATAGAATACTGGACCTGAAGGCACAAGCCCTAGGCTCACATCCGGGCTGACAACTAACCATGGGACCTTGGACAAGTCATCTCTGATCCTGTTTCATCGCCTGCAGAATTACTCATACCTCCAGTACTTAAACCTTGCAGGACTGTTCTGAAGTTCCAAAGAGATACTGTACAGTCTGTGCTTTGCCAATGTTAAAGCCCCCTATAAATGCCAGTGGTTATTATTTTTAACCTATCACTCATCAGGTCAGGCTTATTCTGGGGCCAGGAATGGTTGGTTGATCTAAATGCCCTTTTTTTTCTTGCTTGCAAGATGGTCGCTTATATTCAAAATATAAGATGTTATACAAACACAGCCAACTTTTATGTATCTGAATTAATGGGGGATAAGAGCAGAATGGATACATGAAGTACACAGACATGACATATCCTTACTTTGGCCACATTTTCAACTTTCCCTTTTAAGAAATATTTTATCATTTTAAAATGAATGTTAAAATTGGGGTTTTTTTTACATGTAACTGGGGAAAAACAAAATACTAAATTAAAAAACATCTTTTATCAAAGCTACTAAAAAATTTCCTCAGCCAACTTGATGATAGCCAGTGGTAATATTTAGGTGATGAGAGAAACTACTTGAAGGAAAAAGGAAGTGGCCTGAGAAACTCGCCACCAATCTTAGAGGTCTTTGGGTTTACTAAATACAAAAGATTTTGTTAAGGAAGCCCTAGTTTCCCCATCTGTTTCCAGTGTGCCTCTGTAGGCTTTAAAAAGCTAGGGGGTCATAGCTTGTAGTGCTCATTCACTCAATCCAACCCTCTAGGTTTACAGATGAGGAGACTGAGGCTGAGAGGTGACTGGTCCAGGGCCACATAATGAGCAGAGTGAAGGAACAGACTTAGGATCTGAACCTCAGTCTTTCGACTTCAAAGCCAATGCCCTTTTCATTACATCACAGTTCTGCCCTGTTCCTTCTCTCAACAGGAGGAAGCCTACTAGAAAGAGCTGTCACATGGCAAAAATGAGATGCTTTGCCCCTCTTGATTGAGGGTACTGCTCGGCCTCCTTTCCCCCTCACTCGGGCCCTTGTGCTGACCCTTGGCTTCCCAGGGCCTGAATGGAGTTCCCATCCAGGGTTATCTTCCTCCGCCTGATGCCCTTTTCTTCTTCAAGAGTCAAACCTAAATGAGCTGCCACTCAAAAAAGGATCTGAAACACGTCCACACTAATGTATGAAAAACAACTGCTTTGCTTCCAATCTACACTTTAATCTGAGACAACCCTTGGAACAACAGTCTAGGGCAACCATTATTGGGCCTATGTGGGAAATCCTTTTGGGCAGGAGGCTTTGCCAACGTGGTGCCTCCTGTTTTTGTGCTTCAGAGGGAACAAAGGTCTCCCTGAGTCACTGTTAAAGGCCTGAGTCACAATCGGAGGCCAGCCTCCTTTTCAAATCAGTGGGTATTCCACAGTGGATTGCTCAGACTCAGCTGCTCTCACCGCACCCCAAAACCAGGTTGTAACAAGTGATCTCCTTCCAAGTGTTTTCTCATTCTGTTTTTCTTCCTTGGTCATTTGATGGTGGGACCACTGGGCAAATGAGCCTAAATGCAATCCAGTACCCTCATTTGTTGTTAGAACTCGTGGAAATGAAATGACCAATAAAACCTTGGTCTTCAGTGACATAAGGAAAAAGGAAGCTGCCAGTCTTGCTTGGCTGGGATAAAATCTCAATTTTTTTGTCTGTTTTGCCAATTTGTTCCTCCTTTGTCTATAAAAGAAGTTGAAACAAAAGAACCTATTAGCTTTAAAAGACACTATGGCCTTAATCATTCCTTTTTCTAGGATTTCTCTTTTTTAGTGGCTCTGTGTTCTTTCTGAGGAGGGTTCTTTCTTTCCCTCCCCCCAAGGTTTGATATACAGAGAAAAGTATTTTTAGGTTATTTCTCTTAATTGCTTTCGCAGTGCTAAAAATAACATGGTTCCTAGAAGGCTGCCCCAAACACAAGTCAACTCGACAGGGCCACTTCCCTGACCACAAAGGATGACCAGGACCTTCCTCCACAAGCAGCGTTTCCAGTCCAGCTGATGAGAGCTGGTCTGTCCCCGACATTAGATCACAGATTTAAGAACCAGAAAACACCTAAGAAATCATCTCAAGCCTCTTCATTTTACAGACGAGCAAACGGGGGCCCAAGGAGACATGATCTGCCCAATGTCACACCAAGGTGAGATTCTGAACCCATGCCCAGAACCCATGCAGGCTTCTTTTTGTGCCTTGTAAAATGCTGCCTGGCAGTTTTCAGAAGAAATCCAAACTTTCTGTAGTCATATGCAAAAGTGCTCTAAATCACTAATGATTAGAGAAATGCAAATTAGAACTCTTGAGGTACCACTTTACATCTATCAGATTGAAAGAAAAGGAAAATGTCAAATGTTGGAGAGAACACGGGAAAACTGAGACACTCATACACTGGTTGGTGGAGTTGTGAACTGATCCAACCATTGTGGAGAACAATTTGGAACTGTGCCCAAAGGGCTATAAAACTTTGCATACCTGTGACTCAGCAATACCATTACTAGATCTGTATCTCAGAGATTAAAAAAAGAAACGAAAAGGACCTATATGCACAAAAATATTTATAGTAGCTCTCTTTGCGGTGACAAAGAATTAGAAATTGAGAGGGTGCCCAACAATTGGGGAATGGCTGAAAAAGTTGTGCTATATGATTGTGATGAAATACTACTGTGTTGTAAGAAATGACAAGCAGGGTGATTTCAGAAAAATCTGGTAAGATTTATATGAAGTGATGCAAAGTGAAGTGAGCAGAACCAGGAGAACATTGTACACAGTAACAGTAATATTGTATGATGATCAACTGTGAATGACTTGGCTATTTTCAAAAATACAATGATCTAAGACAACTGTGAAGACCTTACGATGAAAAATGCTATCCACTTCTAGAGAAAGAACTGATGGAGCCTGCATGCAGACTGGAGCATATTTTTATTTTCTTTATTCTTGATTTTTTTGGTCTATGTTTTATGGCTAATATAGAAATATTTTCCACGACTGCACACATAAAATCTATATCAAATTGTTTGCCTTCTCAGCAAGGGGCAAGGAGACAGAGAATTTGGAACTCAAAATTTTAAAAATCAAATGTTCAAACTGTTTGTAATTGAGAAATTTTTGTTTAAAAAATAAAAAACCAAAGTGATAAAATGTTTTTTAAAAAATGCTGCCTGGGCCTTAGTCTTTGGAAGGAGAGCAGAGTACTCACAACCATTTCTGGAGAGGTATTACTCATCCACATGACTTGTATTTTTTTATTTTTCAATAAAATTTACCCAGGTCAAATATTAAATACCACCAAGAAAAAACATTAATGTCAGTTGGAGCAGTCCTTATGCTCAAAAGGATGTTTGAGATTCAGTAGACTAACATACTGACTTTATTTCTCAGGGCTGTTTTTACAGAGCTTGGACATGAATTTGTCATTCTCATCTGGTCTAAAACAAGACAAATGGGAGCTGTAAACATATCCAAACTTTGTTTTATAGTCAGTTAAAAGTACTCTGAGACCTGAAATTTCGGATGGATTCACAGAGATGAACAGAAAGCTAAAGCATCTTAAAAAATAACAAAAATTATTGTCGTAGAGTGATTTTAGAATTCAAAAGAAAATCAAACTAAAACTCTTGACTCTTTAGTCAACAGCCCAATTGAAAGTTTCCTTCTCAGGTTTTACAGCGTCAGCTCCAGTGGACATCTAAGCGCCAGTCACCACAGCTCCTTTCAGTGGACATGCTGAATGGGTGTAATTGCGCTCCACTGAGCTCCCACTTCTGCCCCATTCTCATTCCCACTTTAGACAATAAACTTGGTGGCAGCTCCAAGTCTTAAGAGACAAGGTCTGACCTGTGTCCCTTGAAGAATTACTAGTGCTGTTTCTCAACAGTATGATGGGAAATGGAAGGGTACATCCTCCTTGCAAAAACAAGGCGCAAGTTTCATTCTACTACAATAAGGAAAAGTTGAGGAGACAAGCACATGAAGACCCAAGTGGGGCACATTCTCACCAACACAAATAAAAGGCCATGTGGTCAGTTTCATATGCTTCCATCAATTAAAAGGAAATTTTATCTTACGGTTATGTCCAAAGGGAAGAAAATCATTCTTGCCTTCTCAGAAGGCAGAGCTAATGCAGAGACCAAGAACCCAGGCCTCATAAAACTTTTCTACATCTCCTAGTTGCAGAAACATGAGTTCTCAAATGCAGCTGTTTAAGACCTAGTGTGATAATGCCATCCGTGAGAAAACAAGGCACTACCCTTCAGGGCAAATGGCTGACCCAAGCACCCCTGATCAAGGTGGGGAGTCCACAGCTATAATGAGGCACAAAAATCACAAACAACTCAGTTCTTAGAAATTCCATACATTTACACAGCATGTCTGAGATACACTTTTAGCCATCAGAATTGCTCGACTCAACCTGAACACTGTCTGCTTGGGGAAACTGCCATGAGGTCTTGCCAGGCAGCACTCTCCATCCTGGGAACATCTATCTCCTTGCCAGGGAATGGGGATGGGGATCGGGGGTGTCTCAGCTCAGGCTCTCGATGCTCAGGTGTGTCTGACAGAATGGGGTGGACTCGGGTCTTGTCTCCAGGCCTCCGGCTCGGCCCTTCAGGTAAGCAACAAGCGATGGCAGGAACAGTTCACAGAGGGACGAGGGCATGTGTCTCTTCTTGGTCCCTTGGACAAAGGAGCTCATCAGTTTTCCATGAGGCTCGTGGCTTCCATCTGGCTGTTGGGAGCATCGGCCAGCTTCGGGGTGGACAGGTACTCCAGTTCATAGCGTCCATTCTCAGAAGCCTCATCAAGATGCATTTCGTTGGCTTCCTTTTTACTCCTCTTGTGTTCGATGATCTGCTGGAGCTGATGGACAGCATAGTCAGGCTTGGTGGTCAGAGGACCAGCTGGCACCGTCACGCCGAGGACATCAGACACCATGTACGGGCGAAGCCAGCCAACCAATGGAGTGCTGCCTGGGCTATAGTGCGTCTGCTTGTGATAGAAAAGGAGCCCATCTACCTACAAAGTGGGAAATCAGTGAAAAGTCAACTGTAGACTCCACAACAAGCACAGTTCTGAGACTAGGAGGCTTCAGAAATAGTTTGTACATGTGGGGACAGCTAGTTACAAGGCTGATCACCTAGACAGACCCCATTTCCTTTCCCAAAGCCTACGTCTGAGAAAGGATTTAGAGTCCTGAGTTCCAGCAAATGGGATTCCTTTAAGTTAGACTAGAAAAGGAAAATTTTAAACTAAATGCCAACCTTACAGAAAAGAAATAAAGCAATATAATGAATACTGCAGAGATGCTAGTATGCAAGATGAACACTGTAAATCAAGACCCAGGAAGGAAGGCAGTTATAGAAATCACGATCCACAAGTCATTTTGTGCTGCTTGGCCTCCCAGTGCTTTCAGAGTAATGGGTTATGGGAATGCTAACTCAGATTGCTGAATGAGCCACTGCCAAGGGGTGGCATCTCAGCTACATCTAAATCTGCCTCACCTAAAGGATTTCCTATAACCCTGTATTCTGTTTTTCATACTTTAGTGACTCATCTTTGAAATTCATTGTCATGTAGGACACAAGCTCCATAAATAAGGGTGGTGTTCTTACCACCTCTCTTAATTGACTTCCTGGGATGAGCAAACACTTGGCATTTCCTCATTCTGCAGGCTATGATCCTTTTAATAAAATCATCTTCCATTCAAACTGATATTGGCTGATGACTGGGCATAATTTAAAATGGTGGGGAGGATGGGCAAAGGAAGGTTTGTTTTATGAGCCTACAGTGAGATCATTTACAGGTTGCTGAGGACAATACTGTTAGACTAGAAACACTGTAAAGGTCACCTACTCTATGTCCTCATTTTACAGAAGGGGAAACTAAAGCTCAAAGAGATGTCTCACATCAAACTAGTGGCAAAGCACAAATCAGACGCTAGTCCTCTTGACTCCCAAGTCCAGGGTTCTTTCCAATATACCACCAACAATAATGTAATGATAGGGAACCAGGGGTTTTCATGCCATCAGTACCATCCCTATCTGTGGATCAGCTGATATGGGATACTGGGGCAAGATACCCTCCCAAGAAATAGCTGGGTCTAAGCCCAGGAGACCAGGGCACTGGGCGGCAGCCAGTGTGGGCTCCTCCTTTTGCCCCCACCTCCTCTGCTTCCTCTTACGTAAAAGAGGAGGCTGGACGACATGTCCTCAAAGGGCTTCAGTCCTGGATCCTTGAGGAACATCACACCCTAGTGGCCGGAAGGCGACAGCGCACCTTGAAAGCTCGTCTGTCTCTGTCTCCTTCCCAACCCAAAGGTGTGAGGCACTCAAGGCAAAGTAGCCCACTCTTTCCAGACACATGAAGTGCCAACCTACCAATCTAGGGATGTAGGTTCTCAGGTTAAGTTTACCTTTGACTCAAACATCTTTTAAGGACCTTTCAAAGAAAAGTTAGAAATGGTCCTGGGGCTCCAGTGTAAGGAAACATCTCCTGTTCCCAGCTGCTTCAGGATGGGAAGCAGTGGATTTCTTACCTCAAAAGGGAAGTCCATGGATAAGACCTTGCATAGGCTCTCTGGAGTACATGGGAAATTCTTTAGACCTACAAATTTAAACTAGAAGAAAATGAAAACACACAAAGTCAAAACAGTGAGATTTGGAGCATTTCCTCTTTATTTCTGCCATTTGGAGAGGAACCCCAAAGCTGCACTCTTAGCATATGGTCAGGCATTCTTGGTCAAGTTTAATTTTATCCTCCCCAAAGCTACCTCTGAGTAAATGTGCCCCATCCCACAGCCCTTTCTAGCTTTGAAAATCCTATCAAGTTATGAGATTTGAGGCATTCTTAGAACTCTAACAGAGTTTCTAATAAAGGTCTGGAGGGACTTTTCTTTACACCAGTAACAACATTCATGCCCAAAATTCCCATGGTGGGAGGACAACTCCTGCTTCCCCAGCCTCCGTTCCCAGGTTCTTGCCCAACCCCAGCAACAAGAGGACTGAAAGGACTGATCCACTCCTTACCTACTTCTTTCTAGTCATCTTCAAACCCTGATGATCTTGCAAAGATTATTAATACTAACTAACTAACTAATAGAATGCCCTAAAAACCACGATCTACATCTTAGATCAAAGCCCCTGGGGAGGAAGCAGAGCCTTGGGTTCTTGTGCAGACTCTACCTCTAGTCTGAGTTACTGCTCCTGGGTTCACTTTGGCCCATTGGACCCCAAGTCCTCTATCTGTAAAGTGAGGGGGGATTTGACTAGAGACTCAAAGGTTCTTGCCAGTCCAGAATGTCTATGATTCTAAAATGGAATATTAGGACCATGAAAGCAAGATAAAGCCAGTGGACTAATTATACTCGAATGAAGATGATTTGATTTTTTTTTTTAATATTTAAGCACCTACATGCAAGGAATTATATTAGGCATTGGGGATTCAAAGATGAAAAAGACCTCCAGTGTCTGACCTCAAGAAGTTTATAGTTTAATATCTGTTATGACAAATAGATAAATAAACCAACTAACTCCCAGTAAGAAATCTTTTAAATCTCAATATGAAAGACTTACTGGATTAAGCCTGGTTTTCTCTCCCAGTCCTTGCTCTTCTGGTAACTTTGAATGCATCCAGTAGAATCTAAAATCAGTCTAGAAAAGGGAGGGAGAGAGTGGAAGAAGGGAAGACAAGACAGAGGAAGAAATGAAAATCCTCATCAGCTAAAACTCTAATATGGAAAATGAGCATCCTGGTAGGGTTACACTCAAAGACCCTTTATTTGGATGCTTCCTCTTTCCTCCAACATTCCTATGGGGTCCAGGTCAAGGAAGCAAGCATTTACTAAGCACTCTGCCAAGCACTGGAGACAGAGACAAAAATGAAATCTACCCTGATTTCAAGAAGCTTCCATTCTACTGAGGAAACAACATGCACACACACACGTATATTCCCAAAGTAAATATGAGGTCACTTTCAGAAGGAGGGTCTAGCACTTGAGAGGGGAGGGCTGCTCCAAACCTGAGCTTTTTACAGAGAGCTGGGGATTCTCAAGACAGACAGGAGGAGGGGTACATATCAGACATGGGGGTAGGGCAGCCTGTGCTAATGTATGAAATGACCTGTGTGTCTGGCACAACACCAAGAAAGCCATTTTGGGTCAGACCAGCCTGAATCAATAGGAGTAATACTTGATAAGCCATATAAAGGTAGCTTTCAATAGCAAACTGAGGAGTCTGGCTTTGATCCTAAAGGCCAGGGGCTCTTAACCTGGCACCCATGAATTCCAAAGGAATACGTGGATAGATTGCAGGATTTCCGTGAACTTAGGTGGGAAAAATAATTCTTATTTTCACTAACTTCTAACTGAAATTTAACATCTTCCTCCATGATAAATGTAGGCAACAAAGCCCAGCAGGATGAGGCTTCACCAGACCACCAGTAAGGTCCATGACAAAATGCAGGTTAAGACCCAGACCCTCAATAAAGGCAGAAGGAACCACGGGTGCCTTTGGAACAGGGGGCTGCCATGATCAGGGCTGGGCTTTAGGAAAGCCACTCTGGCGGCTGTGTCGAGGAAGGAGCAGCGAGGGAGGGACTGGAGGAGGAAGAGATGTTTGAGCAGGTGCTTTCTTGGCCTTCCTCGGGCCCCACTTTCAAGATATGCAGACATCGACCACACCTGCCCCTAACTACATTTTCTCCTCTAGGTCAGACTAATGCTCAGGTTGAAGGGAGTGTGAATATTTGTGAAACTGGACTTCAAGTGCCAGCCTATTCATGTGCTCCTTCCTTTTCTCACCTCCCCTGAAACCTCCCTAAATTTTCTTTTATCCATTTAGCACTATTAAAAACATCATTTCAAGGAAGCTGAAGATACAACAGACACACCACAGCCCTTATACACTGAGGGCCAAAGGTGCTACTCCTACACAACAAATGAGATAATCGGAGGCCAGGAACAGAAGAGGAGGCGCCTCAAGCACTAGACACATACCTGGCAGTCATAGACAGGGTGTCCCCTCCAGCACATTACGTCTAGAACATAGTAGGTCTGGTTCAGTTCACTGTAGATGCAATCCAGGATTGTGTAGTCTAGGGACCAAACACAGCAAGTCAGAAAGGCTGCCTCAAAGCCTCAGGGTTCAAAGCTACGGCAGCGTGTGCCCCTGCCCCTGCCCAGCACCTGTGGGAAGTGAGGGAGCGTTCACCCAGCATTCCAATCCACGCTCGAATGATGCCCATCAGGCTGGCTGCCCCCAAAGGGAAAGGGGAGGTGGGGGAGGGAGAACAGAAACAGCAAAGAACGTGTCTGTCTTTGGGGCAACATCAGAAAGAGATGGCCCATCTTCAAGGAGAACAGGCAAGGTTAGTTCACGTATCCCAAATTCTAAGTAAATGTGACGGAAGTAATTTTTTAACATATAAATTGATATACACAAATTAAGTTTTCTAACTTATCTTTAAGCAACCTATAAAAGAACCCAACCCAAAGGCAGAGAACCAACTTATTATGTACTACTAAAACTCCAAATTAAAATAACGTTCCATCATTCTCAATCAATCAATAAGCCCTAGGAGGAGATTTAAAAAGCATCAGATGCAGAGCCTGTCCTCAGTGAGCTTCTATTCAGTAGCTGGAGAGATAAAATTAAGTGACATGAAGCACTGAAGGAATAATCAAGTATTACTTGGTAGTGAGAGGCAGTATGGGGGAGTGGAAAGGGCCCTGGGCTTGGGTCACCTTAATCCTGTCTCTTCTGACACTCACTAGGCAAATCACCTAACTTAGCTCCAATTTTTTCATCTGTAAAATGGGAATGTTAGCTGTTGTATGTAGCTCACAGGACTGCTGTAAGATCACGCAGATGAAGTACTTACTATTATTATTACTGAGTCCACAGTATGATACGAGGACAGATCACTATAGGCTACAGTTAGCATGATTCTGATAGGCAGATGGGAGAAAGGGCATTTCAAGGAAGAGCATGAGCAAAGACACAAAGACAGGAAGAAGCTCCCTCACGGGGTGTGCAGACAAAGAGGAGAGCAGCTTCACAAAGCAGACGGCACCCACTGGGAAGTAAGGCTCATATCACGGCTCACTTCTCGGAAAGAGAAAACTCTGCAGTTGATTTAAGGAGGCAATGGGGAATGATCCAGGTTCTTGATCAGGGGAGTAACATGATAGAAATAGCGTTTTATGGAAACAAAGCAAGACAAATCCAATCAACAACATTGGTTAAAAAAAAAAGGGGAATGCTTGTAAGCATATGCGTTTTGGCTCAAAACAATACGTATCAATATTTTTTTTTAAAGAAAAATGTTTTTTAAGAAGGCAGTCTCAGTTTTCTAAGAAAGATAGATCAGGTTGAGAGTCAAAGAGATGGAGAAGACAAGGTGATTCTAAGATTCTTTTGTAGAAGCAACTAAGACCTCACCCCCCACCCCCAACTCTTCCTCTTTTAGAAATCTTGAGAAAGCATCTTCCTCAATATCCTACTCTGAAGCCTTTGGACTAATCTGAAAGAGAAAACTTTCTATTACTATCAATTCTGAATCAAAGCCCAGCACTTTACAAAAAGCCTGATCACTACTTTGAAGAAAGTGGGGGAAAGTTCAGGGAAAAACTGTGTTCTCCTGGAGGATGGATTTGGGGCCACGCCAGAACTGGGGCACAGGGGCACCAGAACTGCACCACTTAAGAGAGTGGAATCCTCTTTCCTCATGCGTTGGCCAGGACAGGGCAATGACCAGACTCAGTGAAGGAATAAGTCTTTTATGACTTGAGTCAGTGGAAGTATCTCTGGAGTCCACCTTTGGACAGGTGGAAAGAGGAATCCTGGAAGGGAGTGACTGAGGAAGGACTGAACGAATTTTAGAAAATGATTCTCCCAAGATTGTGCCCAAGTGACTCTTAGTCTGTTTGACGGAACCAACTGTTAGCTGAACTGTCAGCTAAACTCTGAACCTTTGCTCAATCTTGATTGTGGAACTTTGACCACTGTCTGAGACAGCTACAGATTTTAATTCTGAAATGGCTTTTGTTAAGAGTTTGAGAGGCCTTGGGTCTGCCCATCTCTGGGCCTAAGAAGAAATGTTTAGAATTAGAATCAATCTAATATTAATAAAATTGTTTCTGGAAGGCTTGTGCCTACAATGCAGAATATGAGTACAGAATATTTTTTGATACTCTTGAGGGGAGAAATAATGAGGCTTAAAGGAAACTGGTTGACAGACTGAATACAGAAGAGTCTTAAAAAGGATGAACCAAAGATAACCAAATTTCTAACCCGGAAGTCTAGTAAACCGATGGTGGCACTACTTTGGGGGACAAGATAAGGAGTTTGTTTTGACACACTGAGCTTGGTTCAGACAGCCAAGTGGAAATGTCCAGCAGGCAGTCAGACCTAGGAGACTTAAATACGCTGAGAAAGCCAGGGCTAGAGACAAAAAATTTGGGAATCATTCTGAGAAGGAATTGTGCCTGAAGATTGAATTAGACAAACACAGATTTAGAGGTGAAAGGGATTCTGGCCCAACTCCTCATCTTACAGGAGAGATAACTGAGGCCCAGAAAGGTTACATGCTGACAGAGGAGATGAGGGGCAGAACTGTGACTCAAATCCAGGAAGTCCAGGCACCAAATCCAGCACTACTTTTTAATTCACAATAAATGTTAAGTATACTAAGGGTAAGAATAAGAACCCCAAGGGTCAAGGAGAGAAGCTAGAGAATATTCATAATGAAGGAGCTGGAGGAAAGCCAGGGAATAAGACAGAGAAGGAACAGCCAAAGAAGCATTAAGAGAATCAGGAAACAGGCATCTGGAAAGCTATGAAAGGGAAGTTCTTCAAGAAGGAGAGAGTGGTCAACAGCAGCAAAGACAGAGAGACATTGGGAAGAATAAAGAGGGAAAATTCTGGCCACGGTATTTGGCAGTAAGAAAGCAGTAAGAAAGCTGCTATACACAGAGCTGATCAAAAGAATGACCTAATCTTGGGGGCAGCTAGGTGGCACATGGATAGAGCACCTGCCCTGGATTCAGCAGGACCTGAGTTCAAATCCAGCCTCAGACACATAACACTTACTAGCTGTGTGACCCTGGGCAAGTCACTTAACCCTGTTGCCTAACCAAAACAAACAAACAAACAAAAAAGAATGAACTAATCTTGGGGGCAGTTAGGTGGTACAATGGACAGAGCACTGGCCCTGGATTCAGAAGGACCTGAGTTCAAATCCAGCCTCAGACACATAACACTTACTAGCTGTGTGTGACCCCGGGCAAATCACTTAACCTCAATTGCCTCACAAAAAAAAAAAAGACCAACCATGACTCCAGAGTACTAATGATGAAAAGTGCTGCCCACCTCCAGGGAGTCAATGGACTCAGTATGCAATGGACATAGCCAGTATGAGAACTGACCTTCTTTGATGATGGGCTTTTCTTTGTTTGGTGTTAAGCTTTTCTTTTTCTTCAGTTGGGAGGAGGTAGGAGGGAAAGGAAATGCATGCTTGTTAAGTGAAACAGCAAATACCTGGGAACCTTTGAGAGAAGAGACCCAGCAGAGTGGTAGGAGGAAGACTCCAGACTGCAGAGCCATGAATGCTTGCTGACTTAATGAAGGGGATGGTTGTAGCTAGATACACCAGAATACAAACATTCCCACCTAATGAGCTCTGTGAAAATATGACCTCTAGTGAAATCCAGTGTGTCTATGGTGCCTAAAGCAACTGACGAGGAAAAAGCTGTAAAAAAGCAAGGAGAAGCTTACCAGGCCAACCTTATCTTGACAATGTAAGGCAGCAGACAGTCAATAAGCATTTATGAAATGTCCACTACACTCCAGCCCCTATGTCTGATAAGCTCCCTGAGGAATAGAACGTTTGTCATTTTTGTCTTTGGGTCCCTCGGACAGAGTGCAGGCTTGCACACAACAGGTGCTTAATAAACGCTTGCTGGATCAGAATGACTCGGGAAAAGGCTCCACGTGAGGAGGAAAGAGTGCTACTGGAAAAGTGTTCACAGGCTACCTTTCCCCGTCGATGAGGTGTGCTTGTTGCCTCCGGGAAGCAAGGAAGGAAACCTGTTGACACAGTATCCGCTCTTGGTGTAGGCCATAGTGGAACCCTGGGAAGGAAGTTAAAATCCTCACTGAATGAGCTGCTTCCTTCTCCTCGTCCTCCCATCCTCCCTTTCCAGTCATGTTAGCTAAGCAGGCACTCCCAAATGAGCACCGTGAGCCAGAGAGATCAAAGGCCCCTCTCCCAACGGGGAACTCCTTCCCAGTCACTCACCTTGGACGCCACAACAAGGGCTCTTTTCCCCACGGGACACACCACCACAATCCACTCCTGCCCCAGATCTGAAGGGACATCAATCAGCCACTCAGACAGCATCAACTAGGAGACAAAGACAGCAAGTGACTACATCTGGCCCTCTGAAGCCTGGGGCACCGAAAGCATGAGCTCACCTCACCCAAGGTGCCCAGAGTCTGGGGCGGCCCAAGGGCCCAAAGCCACGTCCCCTCATTTTACACTGTGCCTTCTTTCTACTGAGCCAGACACTCTCCCTTCGACAGTGGCAGACCATACTTGGTTACAGGAAACCCCAATACAATTAATTAGGAAGAACAAGGGCATGACCACAGAGCCTTAGAGACCATGTATTCCAACCCAAGCAAGAATCCCCCTCTACCACATCCTGAACTACTCAACTTCCACTTGAGGTTCAACATGGAGAATTCACACCCTCCTGTGATAACCCATATCACTGTCAGATAGCTCTAATTTTCAGGAAGGTTTTTCTTAAATTAAGCTTAAATCTGCCTCTCTAACTTTACCCCAAAAGAGGTATTCATATATTTTGTTTTTATATCACCTTCATTTCTGAATAAATCTTTCACTCACTCACAACTAACAAGTCACTTCTCATAATAAATTATTTAAAGAGAGGATAAAAAAGCAGTCCAATAAAACCAATCAACACCTCATAACCTATGCAATGTTCTACACCACAGTCAACTTGCCTCTCTCTACAAAGAAAGGAAGGAGGTGCATTTTCTCATCTCTTCTCCCAGGCCAGCCTGGGACATTCCAATTACAGAGCACTCAGGGTTTCGTTTTGTTTTGCAATCGTTCTTTCCACTGAAATGGTTGCAGTTACTGTTGCATATTGCTCCCTTGGTTCTGCTTGCTGCAGCATTCTGAATCAGCTCACAGAACTCTTCCCTCACTACTCTGAAATCTTGTTTTTCAATATTCCATCACATTCATGTACTACATCTGTTTAACTATTTCCCAATCAATAGGCATCTACTTTGCTTCTGGTTCTTTGCTAACACAAAAAGTCCTGCTATGATTATTCTGGTGTGTATGGGACCTTTCCTTCTGCTTTTTAATGTTTGGTTTTTTAAAAATATATATGCCTAGCAGTGGGATGGCCCTTTTAACCTTTTTAAACATAATTCCAAACTTCTTTCCAGAACGGCTGGCTAATTCACATTTACAATGTATTAGTGCTACTATCTTTCCACAATATGTCCAACGCTAACTAGGTTCCATCTTTTGTCATCTTTGCCAATTTATCAGAAGTGAAACTTCAAAGTTGTTTTGATTTTAATTTCTTTTATTATTAATGATCCAGAGCCATTTATGATGTTTGTTTGTAGTTTTTCGCCTCCTCTCTTAAGAAGCATTTCTTCATATCCTCTGACCACTCACTGTGTCCACTGGGGAATGTCTCTTGGTCTTGTAAAACTATGTTAATTTCCTTTATAGCTTGGCTATTAGACCATTATCAGACATTCCACAGAAAAATTCCACCCCCATCTCATTTAAAGGCCTCCTGGTCCTGGCTGCATTGATTTTGCTTGTCTGAAAGCTTTCAGTGTTATGGACTGAAATAGTCCAGCCTGTTCTACTCACCTACTTTTCTCTTTTTAAACCAATACCAAGGAGTTTGGATGATTACTGCTTTATAAGATATTCTGAATCGTGAAAGGACTATTATCTCTTCATTCCTACCTCATTCCCTAACTCCCATCCCTAAAAGGAGTTGGTGGCACCACAGTACACAGAGTGTTGGGCTTGGAATCAGGAAGATCTGAGTTCAAATCCAGCCAGAGATCTTTACTAGCTGTGTGACCCTGAGCAAGTCACTGAACCTATTTTGCCTCACATTTCTCATCCTCCCAGGGTTGTTGTGAGGATCAAATGAGGTAATATTAGTAAAGCTGCAGAGCCTGGCAGAGTAGGTGTCTAATAAGTGCTTATTTCCTTCTTTGTCCCCTCCATCATTTCCCTTGAGATTCTAGCCCTTTTCTTCAAATGAATTTTATAATTGTCTGTCTAACTTTTTCATAACAATTTACAGTCCCACCAACACTGAACAATACCATTCTTATTTTTGCCAGTGTGGTGGGTATAAAATAGTGCATAAAGTTGTTTTAATTTGTACTTAATTTGTAATTTGTACTTTGTTTTAATTGTACTTCATTAGACTATGAGTTCCTTGAGAGAGTTCCTGCCTCTTTTCGTATCCCTAGTACTTAGCACAGTGCCTGATATATAGTAGGCATCTGATAAACATTAATTCATTGACTGATTACTAGAGAATCTAACAAACTTTTCAAGTGGTTCTTAAAAGTGTTTTCCCCTTTAAAAATTATCTCCTCACTTGCATATACTGTCAACATTTGGTTGATGTGGTGATTTAATTTTAAGTAACTGCTTTTTCCCCTTCTTTTGAAAATTTTGGTTACAAGGAACAGTTCATTTCTGTTGACCGTTTCTCTACTGGGAAATGAGTATTACTCTAAAAAGATCTGCAACAGTACCTTATAAATTTGAGATATCGGATATATTTACTACAAAAAACTTTTCCCAGTCTGTTTATTTAAAATTTTTTTTGTAACGCTGCTTATTTTCTATGTAATCAAATCTATCAGTTTTGTCTCTAGAATTTCTTTCATTTGTTTAAAAGCTTTTCCCTCCTCCCTACAAATGTGATCAATACCTTTATTCTTCCAACTTAAAATATATATAAATGTGTGCATATATTTAGACCAGAGATCTAGTTGGAGTTTACTATAACATAAAGTTTGAGTTGTGGATCTGAATTCACTTTTTACTCTATTGTTATCCAATTTTGCCAACAAATTTTATTTTTATTTATTCCTTTAACTTTAAAATCTTTGATTATAAAGCATTAATCTCTTTTTATAAACTACCTCTGGATTCTCTATTCTATTCCAACAATATATCTTTCTGGTTGTTTTTTTTAAGCAAACAGTTTTGAAATCTAGGAAGATAATTCCATCAATTTTTTTCATAGTTCCTTACATCCTCTGTCATCTGTATTTCTTTTAAGAATTTTATCATATTTTGGTATATGTGGATATTTTCTTATAAATAACATGCTGAGTTATCAGCTTAATAGTAGAATCTCTGGGTAATAGGGCATGGACATTTTAGTCACTTTATTTGCACAATTCCAAATTCCTTTCCAGAATGCTTCCACTGATTCACAGCTCTACCAACAATGCACTAGTGTGTCCAATTTCTGCCATCTATCGAGATAAATGTGTGCTTTTTTGTTTTTGCGTTTAATATGATGAATAATGCTGTTTTCCAAAACTTGCTCAAAATAAATGATTTTGAATTGCTGCGATCTATTTAAAATATTTCAAATTCATTAAGGATACTGATCTATGTTTCTCCTCCTATGTTCCTTCATGGCTTATGTATATTTGTCTCATGAAAGAAATATGTTAGAGTGCTTTCTTTCTCAATTTTGTGTAGTACTAGTACTAACTACTCTTTAAAATTTTGATAGTAGCACTTTGGGTATAGCAAAGAATTGGAAACAAAGTAGATGTCCACCTATTAGGCATGGCTAAAGAAATCATGGTACATGAATATAAGGGAATAGTACTGTGCTATCAAAAATGATATACGTGAATACTGAGAAAGGTAGATTTACATGAATTAATGCAGAATGAAGTAAGCAGAGCCAAGAAAACAATATACCAAATTTACCAATATACCAATTTACTAAGAGGTAAATGGATACGAAGTTTACCAAAAGGCAAAAGGATCACATGACAATCCAAAGTGAATGTTGCATGTACAGTGTGACAGCAATACTGTAACGATGATCAATTGTGAAAGACTTAGCTACTATGATCAAGACAATGATCCATGACAGTTCCAAAGGATCCATGATAAAAAAAAGGCTATCCACTTCCAGAAAGAGAACCGATAAACTCTTAGTGCAGACTGAAGCATATTGTTTTTACCTTTATTTTTCTTGCTTTTCTTTCCTGCAGCCTGGCTAAGGTGGAGATATGTTTTGCAAGACTTCATATGTATAAAGAGTATCATATTTCTTGCTTTCTCAATGGGTGGGGAAGGGAGTGAAGGAAGAGAGAGAATTTGGGAACCAAAAATATATTTTTAAAAAATGTTAAGTGATTGTTGCAAAATTACAAAAATTAACATGGCTCCAAAAAAGAGAAGTGAGAAGACAACCCCACCTTGCTTCTTTGCAGAGGTGAGAGGTAGTACTTTTCAGACTTTTTTTTTATCATTTATTTTCTTTTTTATTTTTTTTCAATATTCCATTTTATATGTGACAGCTCTCTGAAAGACTGAAGCATGAGGGACAATGGGAGAAATTTTATGGATATAAAAAAATCAAAAGATATCAATAGAAATTTCTTTTTAAAAAAAGGATTTTTGTCACAGACCTGTCTAAACCCATGGGTCTTAGTTTTTATGCTGTATGACAAATAAAACAATCTTTCATCCATATGACAGCCCATCAAATAGTTTAAAACAAAAATCATGTCTCTTCTAAATCTTCTCCTTTCTAAGCTAAACACTCCCAGTTCTTTCAACCAGTTCTTACAAGTTCCTTACAAGGCCCCCTAACCACCCTTCTTTAAACCTGTTCAGGCTTGTGAATTTCCTTCCTAAAATATCCAGAAAGAACTCAAAACTCCAGCTATACTCTGATAGGGGAGAGTGTAGGACTATAACCTCCATCGTTCTGGACACTGCATTTACAGAATGATTCTGTGGTCAAGACTGGAAGCACTGAGATGTAACAATGTTACAGATAATTCAGGTATTAATAATGAACTATTAGCTTTTAATTAATAATTGAATTATTAGTTAAATTGGCATTTAAGATTAATTAGAGTGATCTGGAGCCCAAAACTGTAAAGAAAGGCTCTCCCCACAGGACCATGTGTTCCCAAACTTGGAATGCATGTGCAAAGCCCCAGGGCTCACAGAAACATGAGCTACCCAGGGCAGCTGTAACCATATTACTGTGAAGTGGCTCAATTGGGCTCCAGAAGCAGGTGCTCTCCTGGGGAGCTGTCATCTCTCCTCTTCTCCAAAGGAAAAGGAGTAACCCGAGTTACATGCTAACCTGAGACCTCACTGAAGAAAGGCTGCCACCCATCACCTGGAGAATGGCTGAACAAATGATGGGATATGAACAGAAGGGAATGCGATTATCGCATAAGAATGAAAAGGGAGAAGACTTTATACATGATACAGCAACACTGTAAAAATGAACAATTTTGAAAGAATTCAAAACGATGATCAATGACTGGCCATGATTCAAGGACTGATGAAAAAACCCAATCCAGCACCGGAGCGCAGTGAGGGACTAACAATGCAGAGTGAGAGACGTCACGGGGCGTGGTCAACAGGGGAATTATTTTTTTGCCCACGCACATTTGTTACTAGTGCCCTGTTTTTCTTTTTTCCTTTCCCATGGAGGTGATGGAGAAGGGGCAAAGGAAGTGGAAGGAAAGGGAATAAGCATCTCTATAGCACTTACTATGGGCCAGACACGGCACTAAGAGCTTTACAAACCTTAATGCATTTGATCCTTACTAAAACCCCAGGAGAAAGGTGCTATTATTATCCCCATTTTACAGGTGAGGAAACTAGAGCAATTAAGAACTAAGTGATTTATCCAGGGTCACACAGCTAGCAAGTGTCTGAGGCCAGAACTGAACTCGGGTCTTCCTGATTCTACTCATTGCAGAGAGGGAGGGAAAGTTTGCCAATCCCTGCTGTAATTTTTCTAGGTTGGCCTAGGTCATGCCAAAAAGTTGGACAACTAATATCAAATAAACGGCAAGCAAGCAGGTCAGGATCATCTGAGTCTGCTGCTCAGGAACTTTCTCTGACAGGGCTGAAGCCTTCAGGAAATAATGCTCCTGGATCTCAGTTCCTAAATCTTCCCAACCATCAAGCCCCCTAAAATCTAAGCTCTGCCTCCCTCCCTTGCCAACTACACGCGTGGTTTCCATCCCATGCACCCATGGCCACGGCACCTTCCCTGCCAAGGCTCCTCTGCTTGCCTTCGGCCAGCCTATGGACGGCCTCCATGTCTGTTCTTACTGCACAGTCATACCGTTCATTCCACTTCCTATTCCTCTGTGCTTTTCTCAAAACCAGGGATTGCTGGCTCCCAACTTTTATTCTCTGAATCCCATACTCAGGTGAACAGGTTTTCAGGTGCCCTTCGGATTACGACATTCTCTAAAGGGGGCAACTTTCAATTTGGCTCTATTCAGTATCTATCAGTCCAGGCTTTCTCTATGATCATTTTCTGCTGAATCTTTTTTTTTTTTTGGTGAGGCAACTGAGCTTAAGTGACTTGCCCAGAGTCACACAGCTAGTAAATGTTATGTATCTGAGGCCGTCTATGATCATTTTCTAGACTGCTCTTCTGAGAGGTCAGGAATCTTCCCTTGAAAGGTGAGGAGTCAGTAAGGATTCACTTAAGTTATCATACTCCGACTTTGACACAGCCAGGACAAGACTCAAGCATGTGTTTGATTCTAAGCCTGGGATGCAGACACCAATTCACACTGCCTTGCAAATGGATCTTTTCAGAGACGTGGAAAAGAAGAACCAGTACATAACCCTAACAGACTTTCAAACTGTGCAGCTCACAAATGATTCCTAAATATGTGAACATTCTTCCTTTGTGCACCATCACAAACTTGGCAACTTGGGACAAGGCACTCTGCTCCTGAAGGATGTGATCTCTTCCTTTACAGGAAGGTCATTCTAAGGATGGTGGCATCTGAGGTCTCTGAGTATTATCAAAGCCTTTTTTGGGGGGGGTGGAGGGGGTGGGGGTAGGGGCCTGCACTGAGCTGGCTGTATAATGGTACTTTCAGTGCCAAAAAGGACATGCTATTGCTCTTGCTCCTCTGGAAAAAAATCACCCCTTGAAAACACTGACAAAGCAATTCCTGGCCCAGCCACCAGAAGAAACACACAAACAGACCAATCTGCATTTCTGTGCCTCTAAGGAATATGACACCAGGGCTAAACTCTCACGCTATACTTCCAACAGCTTACCTGCCACCCTGCATAAGAAAGCTTGATTTATTTCCAAAAATGATTAGTACACTATAATAATTCTCCACTTATCCAAATAGCACAATTACTGCACCTAGGTCCAAAAGGCCTCTGAGGGGCAAAAACAACCATCACAAAGCCCATGCATATTCTTCTAAAGAAAAGCCAAGGCCATTTCTATGTTGTCACCTGAGAAATGTTATGTAAAACAAAGCAGCAGACATACTAGGTCACTGGATGTGACTGCTAAAGAAGAGGGAAAAGACATAAGAATAAGAAGCAGGGGTGGTATCACGTGGCCTAAAGGCCTCATGTGGCCCTAAGGCCACAGGCTGCCCACTCTTGCCCCAGAGGCATCACTGTACTTCAGCACAGACTAGAATGGATACTTACAAGGATGTCTGGGTCTTCAAAGAAAAGTTAAACCACATGAGATAGAGATGGTTAAGAAAGAAGGGAAAGATGTAGAACAAATGAGAGGCTTAAAAGGAGTTTTTTAGTAGCAAATATTTCAAGCGCTGGCAAATTCATCCATGGACCCTTATGTCACGATAATGCTAGATGAGTAAGATGTTACTTGAATAAGCCTTCCTTAAATTTTCTTCTACATGCTCAAGAAGGACTGTATTTTTTATATATATATTTTATATGCCATAGCATGCAAAAAAGACGGAAGGTAGCGTGATACGGCAGAAAGAAACTGACAAAAGAATCAAGATTCTAGTCCTGGCTTCACCCCTAAGAAACTCTGGGAATTTAGGCAAGTCCTTCACTGTCTCTGGAGCTCAGTTTCCAATCTTGTAAAGCAAGAAAGCTGACTGAGACGACCTTTGAAATTCTGCCCTTTTTCCACAAATGCATGTAAAAATGGGTCAGCTCCTTTCACCTGTCCCCAAGCTGACACTGCCCCCACGCCCTGGCTATACCCTGCCCAATGCCAACTCCTAAGGAACTCTATCACCTGTAGATATTTCTTGGAACTGTATCACCAGCCTGAGAGGGACTTAAGAGACCACAGCAGATGGCTCACCTGGTTAGCATAGCGCCTTGGCAGCTTCTTGCCAGTGTCAACATCCATCCCTTCCTCTTCCTTATCATCTTCATTATCCATCCCCGCCCAGTCATCCTCGGCCAATCTCCTGGCATGATTCACATAGTCTAGCCTCTTGCTTTAAGGGAAAAAAAAAAAGAGGCCCAAGGCATTTTCTTCAAAGTATACAACCTCATGCTAACAAGGAAGAGGCTCTAAATGCTGGCATAGCATATGGGATGTTTGGGAAGCAGAAAAGGGGGTGCCATGGGGCTTCAGCCAGAAAGCAGCTTATTAGCGATCACTTTCTCAGTAACTCTTAACAAGGGACGAGTGTTCTAAATAAGTCCAGACATTTGAAAATGAATTTTCCCAGCAGGACTCAGGAATGCCCTTTGCTTGGTTCATCTGTCAAGTGGAAAGGCTGGACTCTTCAAACTGGAGCTGCAGCTGTGAATCTGCAGCAGCTCCATTTCAGATTAACTAGGGCCAGGAGGAACAAAAACCTTGGGGAAAAGAAGAAAGCGAGAGACACGTCAGGGACATTTGAGCTTGGTGTTTCCCTCAGGCTTTCCGAGGGGGAAAACAAGCCTTTTACCAGTTCCTTTGGGACCTTCAAAAAGGTAACTTTCAGGTAACTTTTTAAAGATGGATTTTTTAAAATGGGCTTTAACAACTTTCTAAAAACAAACTACAAGCAATTAAGGATTAATCAGATACCTCCAAATTCCCTTTCAAACTTTAAAAGAAAGAACTGGAATCCGTGTGTCCATACTATTTTTGTTTTCTGAACATTATTCATTCATTTATTTATTCATGCAAACATATATTAAGCACTGGTTATATACAACGTGCTGTGGAGGCACTGGAAAACACAAACAGCCACCTTCAAGCACTTTTAATGCATTCTGGGGGGAAATGCAAAGAGCACTGTTAGGATTCACTCTTCCAAACACACAACATGATTTTAAATACCTACGTCCATGCCCTGACACCCAAGGGACATCCAAGTCATTCTTCCTTCTTCTAAGATCAGACTCAGTGCTATTTATCACGTGGAGATGCCCACAGTGCCCTTTGCATAAAATTACAGGCCCTTGACCTAGGGGCACCTCCTTGTCACACGACCCTATCTTGCATTCTCTCTACTAGCTTGCTTTGCTCATCATGGCATTTTGGATAAAGTGTCTGGGAGCCATTTCCTCTGGCTCACTGTGGAATTATTTTTCTTTAACTCCCCTGTGCTTAGCGGAAACATTCAAATGGAAGGAGAACAGGAAATATGCAGCAATGCCAAACTTCCCAGGGCAATAGAATCCACATGTCAGCCACATGAGGGGGTGGGAACCCAGAGGGAACAGAGTCGTGAAGTTTCAGTGATCTAATCAAGTTCTGTACCTCATCCTCCAAGATAAAGCAGAATCTAAACAAACAGCTAAGTTGGGACTTTTCAAACAGATGGCTCTGGCTTATGGAAGAGCTGAGATAGCATGTCCCTCATCTTTTCCTAAGTCCCGGCCTGAAAAGCCTCCTGCCACTACCAGACAGGAAGAAAAAGGATCTTCGGACTGGAGAACATGGCTAACAGTGAAAGGGGCAGTGTGTCTACAAAGCTGAAAGTGATGAAGAGATAAACAACGGGTTCACATACGACTTCTGAAGCTCCAGGAGTTTCCGGCGCCTTTCGCCCTGTTCCAAGGAGCTGTACTTGGACTTGTACTGTGACAGGCGAGGGTGAGGTGCCGAGGGGCTGTTCAGGTCTTGGGAGACTGAGAAACTGCTCGCTAGGGCTTCACTCAGCTCCTCCATGTTTTCTGCAATAAACAAAGAATAAGTATCAACAGGGAAGGCCCAGGAGAACAGAGCATTCCTTGAGTGGGTGGGCCCAAAAGCACCCTAGAGAGAGGCAGAGTTTGGCTAAGGAGAGATTAGGGAGAAGATCACCCCACAGGTGGCAAAGCGGACAGTGCTCTGCAGAGGGGCAGGAAGCAGGAGGGCTCAGGTTGGAAGGAGACGTGTGGCCAAGTGCGGCTCCTCCCCACATCCTCTCCCCTCAGCCGGTACCACTGAGCACCCGGGCCACGGCTGCTAGCTCAACCACCTCCTATGCCAGGCTCATCTCCGGGACATGACCTGTTCTGTTATTTCTCAATAGGTTGTCACTGGAGATACATCACAGGCTGCTCGTACCTGCAAGAGCTAACATTCATATAGTCACAAAGGGTGTTAAGTACACTATCTGATTTGAGCTTGCCTCAGAACTCAGCGAGGCAGGTATTATCATCCCCATTTTACAGATGAGGGCACTGTGGCTTAGCAAGGTTAACAGACTCTCTGTGGTCACAATGCTTGTAAGCATCTTAACTCTACTCCCCATTACTCCAATCACCTCCACCCCACACGTACCCCACACCTTGATGCTCCTTTGAGAGACCTATGACTTAATTTGATGGCTACAGACCAGCCTCCAAAGCTACAACTGGGTACATACAGCTCATAGCTATATAGCAGCACAACTGGGCATACATTTTTGGACATGGCCCACGTGGGAATCTGTTTTGCTTGATTACATATATTTGTCAGAGGCAGCAAAGTAATGTGGCAAACAAGATACTGGGCCTGGAGTCAGGAAGACCCAAGTTCGAATCTGGCCTCTGACACTAGGTGTGACCCTGGGAAAGTCATTTAACCTGCTTGCTTCAGTTTCCTCATCTGTAAAATGGGGTGACAATAGCACCTACCTCCCAGGGTTATTGTAAGGATCAAATGAGATAATATTTGCAAGGCACTTCACAAACGTTAAAAGCACTATGCTAGCCATTATTTGACACAAGGGTTTTTTTTCTTTCTTTTAATGGGGAAGAGAAAAAATGCTTATTAATTGAAAAAAAAGAGACACAGTACAGAAAAAAAAGGTTTTAAATAGCTCCATATCATCATTGGATGACTACTGGTATTAAAAAGATGAGTAGGGGCAGCTGGGTGGAGCAGTGGACAGAGCACCAGCCCTGGAGTCAGGAGTACCCATGTCCAAATGCAGCCTCAGACACGTAACACTCACTAGCTGTGTGACTCTGGGCAAGTCACTTAACCCCAATTGCCTCATTTAAAAAAAAAAGAAAGATGAGCCTTAGTTTCAAGGAGAAGCTTGGGGTCATTAACAGCACTGCACAATTCCCAAGGGCAAGCTAGCCTGTTCTTCTCTATGAGTTTTCCTTCCAACTATATATCAGATTCAAATTAATCAACAACTATTTATTAAGCAATTATCACGTGCTAGGCACTGTGTTAAGAACTGGGGATACAAGTAGCAAGGGGAACACAGGTAACAAGACTGAGACAATCCTCCCTGGTACTGAGCTTATGTTCTAATGGGGGAGTACCTACAATAGCAGCTAACATTTATATGGTGCCCACTGTGTGCCAGACAGTGCTAAGTGTTCTGTCCATGATGCCAAGCTGTCCAAGCTGTCTCTTCCACTTATACTCTCCCTACAAAACCATGTACGGTACAAATGTCAAGTTAATACAATAGAGAGCAGTTAATACAAAGTATCTGGGGAGAAGATACCACCAGCTGGGGGACTCAGGAGAGGCTTCATTAAGTAGATGGTGCTTGAGGGGTATCATAAAGGAAGAGAGGGACTCTATCTATGATCTGAAGTTAAGAGAGTATGTTGCAGGCATGGAGGCCAGCCAATACAAAGGCAAAGGAGGGCAAAGGGAATTTCATGAGTCAGGAATGATTGAAAGGAGGCCTGCTGACAGGATCAGAAAGTATGGGATTGGAGGTTAACACTCTATGAGGTGGGAAAGACACTAGGGCCAGGCTAGGCAGGGCTGCTGGGGAGTAACAAAGTTCATTGTCAGACCTGCTCCTAAGGAAAAAGACTTTGACAGGAGAGTGAAGGATGGCCCATAACAGAGTCTCAAGGAAGGCAGACCCATTAGGAGACTAATAAAGGCCTGAAGTAAGGTGGTAGCTGTGTGAGAGAAGGGGTCAGATGTGAACTATATTCTGAAGGCAGAAACTACTTGGCCAGGGCAGGCTAGGGGAAGTGAAGAATCCAGGATGATGCCAACAACGCGAACCTGGAACCCAGGAAGGAGGGAAGAGTTTGGAGGCAAATTTTTCCATTTGTCAATATTAGCAACTCACTGAAATAGCAGAGGAGAGAACTGTCTCAACACTAAGCCATTTCCCTTAATTTATTTTTTGTTTCCTCTAATTTGCTGTCGATTTTTTTGTCCTAAGAAGGTGATAGGGGCAGCTAGGTGGCACAGTGGCTAGACCTGGAGTCAGAAAGACCTCAGTTCAAATCCGGCTTCAGACACTTACTAGCTTGCATGGCCCTGCGCAAATCACTTAACCCTGTTTGCCTCAGTTTCTCATCTGTAAAATGAGCTGGAGAAGGAAATGGCAAACCACCCCAGTATCTTTCCCAAGCAAACCCCAAATCGGGGCAGCTAGGTGATGCAGTGGATAAAGTACCGGCCCTGAAGCCAGAAGGACCTCAGTTCAAATCCGGCCTCAGACCAAACACTTAACACTTACTAGCTGTGTGACCCTGGGCAAGTCACTTAACCCCAACTGCCTTAAAAAAAAAGGAAAAAAAGAAAACCCCAAACGGGGTTATGAAAAGTCAGACACAACTGAAAATGACTGAACAAAAGAAGGTGATGGGATGATCATATACAGAGAAATAATTTCTCTTGTTCTCCTAACCTAGCCCTCCTTTGCATTAGTCACTAAATACTCGAGGCTGTGTTGGTTTGCTTTTTAAGATCTTATAATTTCTTCCAAGAATTTGTCACAGATCTTGAGACAGCAGCTACAGGTCTACAAGTGAAGCTGCCCTAAGTATTCCACAAGATGGTTTTATTTTTATCTCTGTAATCAGTCGGGTCAGTCGCCCAACAACTGACATCATCTGTGGCTAGGAACCTACTCAAAGCCTTTCCGGGCAATCAAAGGAGCCTGTCTTCAAGAACCCAGGGTCACCTCCAGGTCACAAAAAGGACTCAGGCATGTTATTATGATGTTACTGTATACAAGTATCATTATCCCACTTCTACAAACAAACAGAGGGTTTTTCCACCATCACATAGCTCACCAGGAAGTGTCAGAACTATAATTCCATCCCAAGTCTCCTGATACCGCCCCCCAGGTCTAGGGGATTGACCAGGCTGATCCAAAAGATCCCTTCCAACTCCAAAGAAGTCTTTTAAAATGAGAAAGACAAGGGCTTAGAGAAGGAACTTTGGGTAAGGATTCCTGTAGCATAGAAGCCAGACACTCTGACTTAAAACTCTTTCTACAAGTGCTCTTTCTACCTTGGGGAGAGGGCAGATGGAAGAGGGGCCAGAGTCAGAAGCTGGGGGGGCCAGAGAGGGATCAAGGCAAAGGCAGGAGAGGAAAGCCAAAATGGGATGAGGACAATGGAGAAAAGGGATGGATGGAATTCCATCCATCACGAGGTCAGAAGGAAAGGGTGAGGAAGTGGGCGTCTAACAGAAGGGCTAGGCCATGAGGTTAGGAGGTCAGGGGAGAAGACAGGGGAGAGTCAAGAGTCAATACACACTTATTAAGTGCCTACTGTATGTCAGGCACTGTAGCTGAAGAACACAGGAAGGATTAACAGAAAGGGAAGGTGATGAGTGGGTAAGAAGAAAGGGTTTGGGGGGCAGAGTCAGAGAAAGAGGGGGATGGGACAAGGATTTGTGGGTCACAGAGAGAAGACTGACTGGGCACAGGGAAGGAGGACAAGGGGGTGGGAAGTTAGGGGGATCGCAGGGAGAAAATATGAGCTCAGGGTCCCCCAGAAGATGGGGTAGAGACTGGAGCCGGTGTTAGGTAAAGGGGTCGAAGGGATCATGGAGCTGTGGTCATAGGGGCGAGAGAAGATGGGGAGATCACAAGAGGGAAGAAGATGGGGTGGAAGACTTTAGGGTGGAGGTAATGGGAGAGGAGTCTCAGAAGGAGGAGGACGGCGAGGGGCAATTGGGGGGAGGAGGGAATCACGGGGAGAGGTCTCAGAGATGAGGGTAACCGAGGGGAGTTCACAGAGAAGGATCTCTGGGGAGAAAAGGAGATCACAGGGAGGGGTCTCAGCAATGAGAGTCACCGAAATCACAGGGGTGGGGGAGATCACGGGGAGGAGCCTGGGGGCCAATTATGGGGAGGAATCTCAGCGGCGAGGGTCACCGAGGGGAGACCGTGGGGAGGGGATCATGGGGAAGGGTCTCGGGAAGAAAAGGAGATCACGGGGAGCGGTCTGAAGGAGGAGTTATGGAGAGGGGTCGCAGAGGCGAAGGTCACCACGGGGAGACCACGCGGAGGGGATCACGGGGAGCGGTGCCAGGCGAGGGTCACGGCGGCAGGGGTCCCCGGGAGGAGGGGCGGGGGTCCCGGCGTGCACACGTACGTGGTGGCGGCGGCCGGGCGGGGCCGGGCGCGCTCCGGGGCAGGGGCCCGCAGACCAGGCGCCTAGGACGAGGCTCGCGCGCAGCCGCTTCCGCCAGCGGACCAGCCCCCGGGGGGGGGAGTGGGGCGCCCAGCCGCGTGCCCGCGGGCCCCGCCCCCCCCCGCCGTCGCAGCGCGGTCAGGCACGGCAGCCGCACGCCCAGTGGGGGCCTCGGCGCTACCGCTCCCCCCTCCCCACCAGCCCAGCCGGCCCTCACCCGCGCATGCGCCCCGACTGACAGGCGTGGCTCCCAAACAGTCCCGCGACGCCAACAGTCAGCTTCTCTCGGAGGCTTTCCAGGCCCAGCCCGAGTTCCACAGACCTCGGGCTGAGGGCCGGAAGTGCCCCTGTGGGTGGAGCCTGAGGGGGCCGGCCTTAACTCCGGAGACCAACTCGGCGCTGCCCTCTAGGGGCCGTGGGCGCTTACGCCTCTGTCTCCACCTCTGTAGAGTAGCCAGGGGGCCTGGAGGCAAGAAGACCCCAGTTCCAGTGTGGCCTCAGACACTTAGCAGCTGTGTGACCCTGAGCGAGTCTCCTGACTTTTGCCTGCCTCGGTTTCCTCATCTATAAAATGGGCACAATAACAGCACCTACCTCGCAGGGTTGTTGTGAAGATCAAATGAGGCAGTGTTTGTAAAGCGCTTAGCACAGAACCTGGCACGCAGTGGGTTTTATTCCCTTCACCACCCTTCTCTTTTACAGAAGAAAAAAAAGGCCCCAGAGAGGAGGCAGGACTCAAAGACAGATCCGACTCCCAATCTTAGGCCTTTCCCTCTGTACCAGGTCTGGTCTGGTGCAGCTTCCCCCAGAGAGGTGAACTGAGGGACTCTGGAGTGCTTCAGTTCAGTAATAAGCATTTATTAAGCACCTCCTGTATGCTAGCTGCAGGTTATCTACACCCACCCCCACCCCACAATGACAAGAGCAAGAAGAGGCTTGCTGCCGTTCTCCTGGTGGACCCAAGACAGCGCCCCCTCTGGGCAGGAAGCGGCAAAGCCTTTGGGAAGGGTCAAGAGTCCAAGATGCTGGCCTGGGTGAAGAGGCAGAGGATGCTCCTGGCCCGGGGAACATTCTGGGCAGAGACCCCAGGGACTCAGGAAGTGAAGGGTTGTCTTGGGGCAAAGCCTGCAAAGCTAAGCCTGTTAACCAAAACAGGTCCGGGAGACACTGCCTTGCAATGCCCCTTGACATGCCTTAGCAAGTCACACCATGGGAGGAGAGCCTTGCCCCAGATGGCTGTTTATGGTTTTTGTTGCTGAGGCGTTTCACTCGTGTCTGACTCTTCCTGACCCTGTTTGGGGTCTTCTTGGCAAAGATACTGGGGTGGTTTGCCATTTCCTTCTCCAGCTAAGACAAACAGGGCAAAGTGACTTGCCCAGGGTCACACAGCTAGTAAGTGTTATGTGTCTGAGGCCAAATTTGAACTCAGGTCCTCTTGAATCCAGGGCCAGTGCTTTATCCACTGTGCCACCTAGCTGCCCCTCTTCTACTTCTTGAATGAGCTTGGGTAAGTCACTCAACATATTTGGCCTCAGTTTTTTCATCTGTAAAATGAAGGTGTTAAACTAGAGGCCTTTAAATTCCTTCCCATTTTAAATCTTAATCCTGTGATTTAGGATTGCATCTAATCTGAGTTCAACTGCCTTTTAATGTTCTCATTTACCTTGTCAATATGTATATTCTCTTGGGTCTGCTTTCACCACTGTGCATCAGTTCATATGTCTTCCCATGATTTTCTGAATTCCTTGGCCCATTGGCACCATTTTGAACTCTAGCACCATAATATCCCATTAATATGTCATAGTTTGGTTCCTTTTTTTTTCTTCTAATAGGGTTGTCTTTTCAATTTGTAAAGATTAGTAGAAGTTAAAAGGAATGGTTCTTACCTCGGGGCCCCACATAGGCAAAGCCCTGTGAGACCCACGGAGGAGGGAGGCATCTGGGGCCTGGTCCTAACTTCTTCTGCTACTGGCTGTCAACTGCTTTTGACTATTGTGATAGGAAGGCATGTGATCCTCCAGTTCTAAAGCGCCTAAGCTGCCTAAAACTGCTTAACCTTCCAGTCGACAGTAGTCAGCTGTGTGAGAATTCTGATGGGATGTGTGACCTCATGGGAGGTGTTTGTGATATCACATCACCATGGAGATTTTCAAGTTGGAATCCTAATCATAACTTGAAGAGGATCAAAATAGCTGCCTGTTTGTTCCTGTAAACTGCTTCCCCCAAATTCTCCAGCTCAGTGGCTCTGTAACCTCATCAGAGTGATTACCCCTATCACTGCAGACCCAAACGTTTTCTCACTTTGTGCAATCCTTAGCCACCTCTAAGTAAATTCTCCATGGAAGATTCCTGCTGACCTTCATGCACTGAAGTCTTTTTTCTGGTTTATTTCATATCTTACGGGGAGCCATGGGGTCCTTGGGCTATTCTCGTGCTCTCTTTTGTTCTTGAGAGCTGTATTAAGAGTTGGCTCGCCCCTCCTTATGGTCATCTTCACTGAATCATAGCATCTACAGCTGGAAAGGATATTAGGGATCACCTAATCTTAGGTGATAGGGAAACCTCTATCTATGGAAGCACTTTCATGACATAGATACTGAAGTGGAAAAGCAGGTGTGTAAAGGGTAGGCAAAGCCTTCCAGGTTTTTCTGTTAGTGCCCTAGCCTGGATTCATTCTAGACCCTTCTAAAGGCATGAATTTTCCTAACAATATTACATGATTTACTGGACTTGTGTTTACCCCTGTGCCATTGAGATTCTAATCTTCTCCCTAATTTCCCATGACCCAAAAGGATTATTGATTCATACTGGGGTTCAATGGACTCTTTACCATAGAGAAAATGAAGTAATGTTGACTTTGATGGACTGTAGCATTTGACCCTATCTGTCACATTTTACTAGACACTTTCTTCTCTCTAGGTTTTCTGACTCTGCTTCTATCTGAGTGCTCCTTTCCAATCTCCTTTGCTGGACCTTCATCCATGTAACTAACCATGGGTAGTTCCCAAAGCTTTGTCCTGGAACCTCTTTCTCTTTTCCCTCTATTCTATCCCATTTGGTGACCTCATCATCAAAAGCTCTGATGGGTTCCACTATCATCTCCATGCAGATGATGTCTAGATATGTGTGTGTGTGAGTGTGTATAATATATATGTGTGTGTATTTATATCTCTTATCTATCTATCTATCTATCTATCTATCTATCTATCTATCTATCTATCTATCTGCCTGTCTAAATTAGACCCAATCTCTCTCATGAGCTCCAGGCAGTTGGTGGCACAGTGGACAGTGGTGTCAGGATACCTGAAGTCAAATATGGCCTCAGATAACTTAGTAGCTGTGTGACTCTGAACCACTCACTTAACCTTAGTATGCCTCAGTTTCCTCAACTGTAAAACAGGGATAATAATACTACCTACCTCACAGGGTTGCTATGACCATCAAATGAGATAATAATTGTAAAAGTGCTTAGCCCAGTGCCTGGCACATAGTAAGCACCATAAATGCTCATTCTCCTCTTCCTCCCTACTCCCCTAGTCCTTCATCACCTTTTGCACATCCAGAACTGATGTCTCATAGACATCTCAACCTCAACATCTGTCCCAAACAGAACTCGTTATCTTTTCCCCAAATCCTCCCTTCTTCCCAGCTTCCCACTGTTCTCACAGTCACCCTGGCATCATCCTCCACTCCTCACTTGCACTTAGCACACATATCCAATCTGTGGTCAGATCTTATTTCTCTCTCTACATTTCTTATATCTGACCCTTCTTTTTCTCCACTCACAGAGACACGGCTGCCTTAGTACCCTTGTCACTTCTCACCAGAACTATTGTAAGAGCACCTCATTGGTATCCCTGCCTCAAGTCTCTCCTACTCCAATGTATCCTCCACTTAGATGCCAAAGTGACTTTCCTTGGTCTGACCAGGTAATCCCCCCCCCCAACCCCAACCCTTCCCTCACACAAATTCGACAAACCCTGGGGCTTCCCTATTACCTTTTCGGTTAGGCATTTGAAAGCCTTTTACAACCTATCTTTCTTTATAATCTTCTCATCTTTCTAGTCTTTTCTTTTTGGTGAGGCAATCAGGGTTAAGTGACTTGCTGAGGGTCACACAGCCAGTAAGTGTCAAGTGTCTGAACTGGATTTGAACTCAGGTCCTCTTGATTCCAAAGCCAGAGCTCTATCCACTGTGCCACCTAGCTACCCCTTCTCTCTAGTCTTTGTAAACATTACTCCTCTACAGGGACAGTATGGCTTATATTGGCTTGCTTCCTGTTCCTCACACATGAAGCTCCATCTCTTGACTCCACTGCTTTCATTAGACCTCCCCCAGGCTGGAAACCCTTCCCTTCTCATTTTTAACTCTTAGCTTCTCTGGCTTCCATACTCTCTCTGTCTCTGTCTCTCTCTCTGTCTCTCTCTCTGTCTCTGTGTCTCTGTCTCTGTCTCCTTCTCTCTCTCTCTCTCTCTCTCTCTCTCTCTCTCTCTCTCTCTCTCTCTCTCTCTCCACACACACACACACACACACCCTTCCTTCTGAGATTACTCTCCATTTTATATTGGATATATTTTGCACCTATTTGGTTATTCGCATTTTATCTCCATCATTAGAATATGAGCTTCTTGAGGGCAGGAACCTTGTTTTCCCCTTTTTTTATATATAAGCAGTGTTTAGGCCAGTGCCTGGCACATAATAAGTACAGAATAAATTTTTATTGACTGGTTGACAAAAAAGCCCCAAAACCTCTCATTCTGCTTTGAGTGAGATCTGAAATCTCAACCTCCTTACATGCAGTCATCTGTCATTATCTGAATGCCTTTTTAGGGGAAGTTCTCTCTAGCATTCCAACTTTTGGGGTCGCGTAGAGAATGGAGGAAACCATCGGTCTGCCAGAAAAAGTCCAAACTTTTGACTGGCGTGTTTAAAGGCCTTCCACATTGTGACACCAACCAGCCTTTCCAGTGTTGGCTCCCACTGCTCCCCGGCTCCCGAGTTAAAGAATCTCAGGCTTTCCCGAATTCTTTCCTACGTGTGTATCAAGTGGAAAGACATTCAATCCTGGATCTGCCACTTCCCAGCTCTGGGGCTCGTGTGCCACCCACTATGGAAAATGAGGAGAATGTCTAAGGATGCTTCCAGCTCTGACATTTTCTGGGTGTTTGTCGGTGAATGAATCTGTAAATACAAACTGCTCCCCCATTTTACATGAGGAGAGAGGAAATGAAAGGATTGGGCTGTAGGAGGCAGCCCAGCCCAGTGGAAGGAGCGCCGGGGATGCAGCTGCCTCTTAGCTACCTAGTGACCCTAGGGAGCTCCCTCAGCCTTCCTGGCCCTTGCTTCCCTCCCAGCTTTTTTCAACGAGGAGCACTGTACCAGGGACTTGTCCCTTACTGCGTTCAGTCCTATGACTTCACCAGAGGACCAAGAGGTACTAGACTTGATGGAAGAAATGATGCAGAACACTTTCTCCCCTTCCTCGGCGACACGGCTGAGTTCGGATCCTGGCTTTGGCGGCTTTTCTTTGTCACAGGGGAAGGCTGAGTGGGCGGGCGGATGGGTATAAGATGTATCCAGAAATGACTGCGATATACAAATGATTCTCCCCCCCCAAAAAAAAAAACCAACCTAGAAAAAACAAACTGCAGGAACCTTGCAGACTCTGCTGAGGCCGTGTCTCAAGGCACCAGGGACTTCCTTCCCAGTGTTTTCAAGCCCCAGCTTAATTGACGTGTTGATCATTCTTAGGCTGCTTTCTTGGAGTCGCCTTGCTCCTTGGCCCCAAGGATCTCCAGCACATTGATCTCCTTTAGGAAAAGACCTGGAAGGCAGCTAGGCGGCATGATAGATAGAGCCCTGGCCCTGGAATCAGGAGGACCTGAGTTCAAATGCAGCCTCCGATACTTACGAGCTGTGTGCTCTGGGAAAGTCACTTAACCCCATTGCCTTAAAAAAAAAAAACAAACCCAAACAACCCAAAAACAAAACAGAGAAAGACCTTGGCTGTGAATTAACTATGCCCCTGGGTGTCCCATCCACTGAATGCAGCCGACATCCAGTGTTGCACAGTTGAAAGAGCCCTGCATTTGAAGTTAGAAGATCCATGCTTGAATCTTGCCTCTGCTTCTCAACCTTCTGTGTGGCTTGAGGCAAGTCATGACCCCTCAATGGGCCTCCCACTTTCTTATTTGTAAAATGGGCTTAGGTGATTGCCAAGTGCGATTCTGTTTCTAAAATCTATGACCCTCTGGTGCCAGATTGAATCCTGGCCCCTAACACAAGAAAAGAGAGTACCCGACTGAAGAGAGCTGGTTAGTGTAGCAGGCAGAGGTAAATCATCCGAGGAAGAAGCAGTTCCCCGTTATCCCTGGGACAAAAAGGCGCATCCGTGGACCCTAGCATTGCTTTAGGTAAAATCAGAACATGGTGCATCAATGCTGACCCGCAGGGAGTTCTCTTGTGAAGCCCCTTCTCAATTCTGGTCTCAAATGTTTTGTTCAACATTTTCATCAGTTGCTTGGATCAAGGCATAGATAGCACACTTATCAAATTCTGAAATGACATGGGAGGGATAGCTAATACCATACATGATAGGACCAGGATTCAAAAAGGAATGAAAAAGCATTTATTCACCTGTTGCTATGTACTAAGCACAAACAGAAAAAAAAATGTAAGCTAGGCTCTGCTCTTAATGAGCTCACTCTCTAATTGGGAGAGACAACACATAAAAGAAGATTCTGCAGTGAGGCAGCTGGAACGCCCCAGAAATCCTAAGGGTGCCGAGGTGGGTTGGATCGCAAGGCTCAAGAGTTGTTAGGTTATATAAATAAATAAGATACCATTGCTGGGGACTACAGGGAGCAGATGAAGGGCAGATGGTCAGGCCTGGGCAGGGCAAGTATCTTTCATTTCATTGGAAGGAAGAGAGCTGTTTGACTCCCATCTCATCCAAGCCATGTGAGTAGTCTAGCAGACAGGTGAAAGGGGGACTTGGGGAACGCAAGATGAAAATGTGTGTCCCCAGTAGGGGTTTTGGGACAGCTGAGGAGC